CTCTACCCATCATACTCATTTTAACCTGGGCCTGTAGTCTCAATCGAACACCCAACTCACAACAGCTTCTGGGCAGCCCAAGGAGGGCATCTGGAGCTTACAAAGGATGCAGCCAGCCGTCCTTCCTGGCCCCAACTCGATGCTCGCGGTGGGCTGCAGGCCCACTAGTACTCACCCGGATGCGGCGCATGGCTGCCACGATCTCTACTCGGCTGTTAGGTCTCGGCACATCCAGGCTTCCCACGTACTGCAGGGAGAAGGAGACACTCATTAAAAATGTGGCAAATGTCCACAGTTGCCAAATGAATGGAAGGACGTAGGAGGGCCACCCAGTTTATCTCTATTTAACAGCCAAGAGGAGGGGGTGCATTCATTGTCCTTCAGCTAGTTCTAACTTTGTGAAAGGCAGTGGAGCGAGAAACTATGGCTTCCTTTTTCATCTCTTCTCAATCAGAGATGAGCTGAATGCCATACTGACTAAGCAGCTTCCAAATCAGAAAGACCTGGTGTGAAGGACTCCCCCCCCATACCTTTGAGGCAAGGTACTTCACCTTTGTCTCAATGTCCTCATCTGCGAAATGGAATTTCAGTAAAGGTCAAACGGGATAAGGTATAAATCTTTACATAAACATGCTTTACACATTATCACAGCTCAAAAAATAAGTGGTTTTTTTCTTGTTTGTTTATTTGCTTTAAGGGAATGTCACTGAGTTAGCCCTAGATGTTATCGAGACTAGACACACAGACACAAACATATACATGTGTATTATGAAAAATCTAAGTTATTTTCTAAATAACTAAGTTATTTTCTAAATACAGATATTTAAAATGAGTATTTCCTTGTTGTGAACCTGCAAATACAAAAATATACAAAACAAAAAACAAGCCCCAGCTCCACTGTCCAGTCTGAGGCAATCTCTGTCCAGTCTGAGTTAATCTCCTTTTGTGCTGATAGACATGTATTTTACAGACACAGGGGAATCTATTTGTAACATGGTGCACAGCTTACATAGTTCTGCAACTTGATGTCTTTTACTTTAAATCAAGTTGTTCTGCAACCTGATGTCTTTTACTTGAAATACAAATGGGCATTGTTCCCTGCCAGTGATACAAATCTGAACAGTCATTACCTGTACTGGCCCTCTTTGAACAGAAACCCGCCAGCCCGCATGTCACTTTTACAAATACCACTTCCACAAACCAGCTCACTGACACAACTTTGAGCTCCTCCAAGCAGCTCTTTAGTCTGGATTCCTAGAAGCAGGGCAATGGGATCAAAAGCTTAGACCACATCTACATAAAACAAGAGGACAGACTGGACACCCAGAGGGAGGGGGTATCAGTTCCCTGGGTGGGAAGGCCACGCCACCCACTGGCCTTCTTTCCTTTCTACATACAAATTACATAGACTTGCCCAGGGGCTATCCTAGAATTAACAGCCCCTGAATCACTTAAAAGTGATAAGCAAAGAGCTGTAATAAAAGAGCAGTGGCACAGACATCTCTCCAGGAAACGCCTTGCTGTGTTTACAGGAATAGATGCTCTTCCTGCAACAGGGTGCACAAGCTGCCCCAGCAAGGGGGGTTTCAGAAATGAAATGCTGCCCAGGGCTTCTGAGGACTATGCAGTGTTGGTGCCGGGAGGCCAAAGGCACAGTTCCAAGCAGCCAGGGCCTCAGGGAACGCAGTCCTCCAGGGCGGTGGGCACAGAGCACCTACTGAGAAAGCCGCTGGCCCTCCACTCAGGTAAAGGCAGCCCCAGACCCACAGGTGTGGCCAGGTCTGTAACCACAGTGGATTCCTCCCATCACTGAGCTCTGTTCAGCTTGCAGCCTGTCAACATGTCAGTGACCCAAGCAGCAAGGAAGACACTCTGAGGCTGGTCGCAAGTCCCCACCAGGAAGTTTCCAGGCTGCCTCTCCTGAACTCTGGTCAGCACTGAACCAACCTGGCCATCAGATCTTCAGGGTGTCCTGAAGATGTCCCTGATAGCTGCCGAGTGAGAGGCAGGATCCCAAAACCAGACAAGGTCACTGTGCAGACAAGCTGCCTGGGACTATGCCTCTGGCCACCCAGGAGGAGGCCAGCACCCAATGAAAGCTGTGCTGGACTCAGGTGGGAGCCATTCTCCTACATCCCAGATCCACCTAGCTCTCAGCTCTCCCTTCTTGGAGAGGCACTGCTGGACTGAGAACCCAGAAGTGGTCAGGAATCTGGGGAGAGGCCAAGGGAGGGGGGTGACAACCCAGAGGAGAGGAGAGGGGCTTTCCAACTTCAGACAAGGCTCTTCCCAGGGAGCCTTCATATGTGAGGTGCACACCACGGACACAAAATGTGCCAGTGCCTCCTTCATCACCACCACCTCCCTAGCTGGTGTCTACACACACAGCACACTCCTCTCGTGCCTCCCACACAGCTCAGTTTATACACAACCACCACCACCCCCCATACACACACACACACAGCATACCTCGCTCGTCACCTTCCTTCCTAAGCATGTGAGGAATCACAGATCTGCTTTCGGAGAACACAGGTGGACAGGAACCCCTCTCAGGGTATTACTTCAGGATCATTTGAAGAGATTAGAAGGGAATGAAGTAGGGTTTAGGCCTGTAACAGGGTGGTCCCCAGGAAAGGGGGAAGTTCCAGGTTCCCTGCCCCACCAGAAGAAGGGTGGAGCTGAGCAGAGAAGAGAAGAAATCTGAGGAAGAAGGAAGCAGGTTGGAGAGCCAGAAAGAGACCTGAGGAAGACACATGGAGCAAAGGGAGACATGTGAAGAAACTGTGCTTGTTTCTTGGCCCTGTTCTGGTTGAAAGAGATGTGGGTGAGAGACCCGTGGGGAGGTTTACTATGGCGGTGTTTATATTGATTTTGATCTTTTCCTGCCAGACTTGTCTGGCCATCTCTGACCCTTTTCTATGGGTCTTGGCCAGAAGGTGCTTTAGTCTTGTGGTGGGCTTTCAGGCCTTGCTTTGGGCCAATCCCTTTTGGGTGGACTTTTACCCACAAGCGGGTGGGTAACTTAATGGGTCTGATTAAGAAACTACATTCTTTGTCTTTCCTGTACTGTATACTCATTGTATTAAAGTTCCTTTCCATTATAGCTCTTATGTCTTGTTTTGATGTGGCGGATGGCAGAACCTATTTAGAGCAGGCAAGTTTGGGGGTTCAGTGGTGCCTCTCTTCCCACCCTATAACAGGTCCACATGTGAGCAAAAGATCCACACCAAGCAAGAGCCAAGAAGCAGAACCACTATGTTACAGAGCAGGGAGGGTTCAGAGAGCCCTTTGCTCAGGGCAACCAGAGGGACAACGAACAAGTGGTCGCCCAAGCACGGAGGAGATGCCTCCCCATCCCTGGCTGACTGCTACCCCTCAGAACGCTGCATGTCCCAGACACTCAAGGGAGGATGGCCACTTTGAGGAAGGAGGGGCTGACCTGGATTCTACCTGGTGCCTCCACGTCAGAGGCATATCTGCTCTTTCCCATCAGCCTCCCCGCCCTTCCAGTCCTGTCGCAATTCATCCACTTCCGACTTTGATCCAGATACCTGAACTGAACTAAGAGATCCTCTTACAGTCACAGATGCAATTCTGGGTGCATGGGGAGTGCACAGTGGTGCAGCAAAGATTCTGTCAGCGGGTTTCAGGCACGTCTGAGGGATTGACCTGATCATCTCCAGGAGCTGCTACTAGACCTCATGAGGGCCTCCTTCCAGAACACCTACCATGCAGCTTAAGATAAAGGGGCTTAAAATACAAAAAGCCCTACTTTTCATTACTATCTTAAAAGGAAAAAAAAAAGAGGAAAGAATCAGAGTGTGCTGGATAATGAAGATGAGGTATATTTTTAAGTTTCTGCACATCCTCAGCCACTGTGACAGATTAATACCTCTTGAAGGTGGTTTTTTTTTTTTTTTCTCATTTCCTTGCTGGCACCCTATTCTCAAGATTAATTTCTGAAGACAATGATAACTGAAGTGTGGAGTTTCCTGGTATATGAATCACCGCGAAAAGCAGCAAGACATAACAGCTTGAACATGCACCAGACTCCTCACCAGCCATCGACTTGTTAGACTTTCTGCCACCACCGTCCTCTGGAACTCACGTTATTTACAAAGTTTCTGACAAGTGTTTCCAGAGATCAGAGGGAAAACTTCAGTATGAATAAAAAATAAGCACACCCATTAGATTCCGGTTCTGATAATGACAGAGAAACAAGAATCATCAGATGATACCTCCCATAAATAGTAAATATGGACAAGATACTAAAGAACTGCGTACAATGTACAACATCAAGAGTGAACAGTAATATAAACTATGAGCATTAGTTAACAGCGACATGCAATATTATCTCAACTGGAGCAAACACACTGCACTGATGCAAGATGCTAGTTATAGGGAAAAGGAGGGGGCGAGGGGGCTATGAGCAAACTCGTTCCTTGCCTCCCAATTTCTGTGTAACCCTAAAGGGTCCTAAAAACGGAAATCTACTAATTTGTAACAGTAAATGAACAAAAGAGCTGAACAGCACAGGAGAGAGACCAAAGCAGGCAGAATTTAGCCAAAAACCAAGCTGTAGGGCAGGGTACCCACTGCATGAGGGGAAGCATGGTTTGTGCAGTTTTGCCCAGAGTTTTGCATGTACCGCTTGAGCTGGCCAGGCAGGAGAACACAGACCACCTTGGGAGCTGGACACAGGACAACAAGTTAATCATAAGGGTCACAGATCATGTGTAACCCCACCCAGGGCCTTGGATGATCCCCCAGTGCATAGATACCCACCCCAGGAAAGGACAATTTAGGTTTTCAGACCAGCTACATTAACTGTCTTTAAGAACAAAGACCTATACAATTCAGTACAGGACAGCAGAATCTTAGTCCCTAAGGTCATTTAAACCCACTGACTGGCCACAGGAAAGTCACACTGTCCCTGGGTTCAATGGGTATACTTAAAGGCCCCAGGATCTTTGTGTTCCCTGTCTCATCTTCTTTCTGAAAACCACGTGTGGTCCCAAGCTAGAGCTCATACCCTAGAATCTCATACCCTATGAGATTCAGGGGAAAGACCCTCTCATTACAGAGGACAGTGCAGCCCAGGGCTGTTGTCCTACATTCTTTATCAACTCTCCGCCTTCAGGTCCCAACACCAACTGGTCTCTATTCTATCAGCCCTGCAACTTCTCAGACCACTGGTCTCCTGGTCACACTGAATCTTTGCTCCATAAATACAGAAGTAGAGAGAAA